CAAGAGACGAGATCTTGTCTCTACAAACAATTTAAAAATTAGTTGGGCGTGGTGGCGAGTGCCTGTGGTCCCAGCTACTCAGGAGGCTGGAACAGGAGGGTCGCTTTAGCCCAGGAGTTCAGGGCTGGAGTGAGCTGTGATCATGCCACTGCTTTCCAGCCTTGGCCACAGAGGGAGACCTTATCTTAAAAACAAAACAAAACAAAACAAAAAACAAAAACAAAACAAAAAATAAAACACAATAAAAAAACAATGTAGGCCGGGCGCGGTGGCTCACACCTGTAATCCCAGCACTTTGGGAGGCCAAGGAGGGAGTATTGCTTGAGTCCAGGAGTTCAAGACCAGCCTGGCCAACATAACAAGACACCATCTCTACAAAAAACAAAAAAATTAGGCATGATGGGGCATGCCTTTATTCCCAGCTACTAGGGAGACAGGATTGCTTGAGCCCAGGATGTTGAGGCTGATTGAGTCACTGCACTCCGGCCTGGGTGACACAGGGAGACCCTGTCTTAAAAAAAAAAAAAAGAGAGAGAGAAAGAAAAGAAACAAGGCTTGAAACCTGTTATACCATCCTAGGGGCACAACTGACACCATAGGTGGCCTCACACTGGCTCTGTACACCTCCAATCCTGACACACAGTTCCTGCTCATCTAACAAAGTCCTACTCAGTCTCTTGGTTTGGAGTCCCCTTGAGGATGGCAAGAAGCATTTGTATTCTTTTGGAGCTCTTTCAATAGAAACGCTTCCTTTAGCAATTGACTCAAAATCTCTCTACTGTAGTCAGAATGAATTCCAGTAGGGAGACTGAATAGAGATGATGTGTCCTCATCAGCCCATCCCTTGTCTGAGACTTTCTGATCCACAGTGAGATATGTGAGAGTTCCAGGGGTGAAATGATCTGTTATCACAGCATTTTCCCAGGTTCTCTCTAGTTCTAGAGAAAAAAAGGAAAAAGATCAATCTATACTAAATCCGAGATTTTCTTGACAGACTTACTTTGACATAAGTCACTTTGGTGGATGTTTCCCATCGACTATATCGGGGATGCGCCACCCCACCCAGCTAATTTTGTATTTTTAGTAGAGACAGGGTTTCTCCACGTTGGTCAGGCTGGTCTTGAACTCCTGACCTCAGGTGATCCGCCTGCCTCGGCCTCCCAAAGTGCTGGGATTACAGGCATGAGCCACCGGCCCATGTGTTTTGTTTTGAGACAGGTTGTTGCTCTGTCACCAGGCTGGAGAGTAGTGGTGCAATCATAGCTCCCTGCAGCCTCGAACTCCTGGGCTCAAGCAAGTCTTTCACCTCAGCCTCCTGAGCAAGCTGGGGTTACAGGCACATGGCACCATACCTGGCTACTTAAAAATTTTTTTTGTAGAGACAGGTTTCACTTTGTTGCCAAGGTTGGTCTCGAACTCCTGGCTTTAAGCAATCCTTCCTTCCAAGGTGCTGGGATTGCAGGTGTGAACCACCTTGCCTGTTTTTGTTTGTTTGTTTGTTTGTTTGTTTTTGAGGAGTGCTTGAACCTCATTTGTCTTTTCGTTATGGTTAGGACTATAGGTCATCCTTCTTGAAGGCAGGCTCCATATCCTATTTTGTATCTCTCTTTTTATTGAGATGGAGTCTCGCTCTGTCACCCAGGCTGGAGTCAAGTGCCACGATCTCGGCTCACTGCAACCTCCACCTCCCGGGTTCAAGCGATTCTCCTGCCTCAGCCTCCCGAGTAGCTAGGATTACAAGGGTGTCCCACCATGCCCGGCTAATTTTTGTATTTTCAGTAGAGACAGGGTTTCACCATGTTGGTCAGACTGGTCTTGAACTCCTGACCTCGTGATCTGCCCACCTCGGCCTTCCAAAGTGCTGGGATTACAGGTAGTGAGCCACTGTGCCTGGCCCTATTTTGTATCTCTTATAGTGACTATCACAGTGCTTGACACATAATAGATGCTCAAAAAATGAATGCTAAATGTACTAATGAAAGAACAAGTGACTCGGATGGGATACAGGCAGGAAAAGGGTCAGTGTGTAAGTGGGCAACCCAAGGATGAAGACATTTCTCTTCTGGACTCAGAAGTGGCTCCATAGTAAGGCATTTGGACAGTGTGTGCTAAAAATATATTCCTTTTGGGTGCAGCAGAGTCTGAGAAACAAGAACACCTACACTTTCCATCTTTCCGGTCCTGGAGAAATGGCTATAGAAAGTAATATTTGAGCAAACAAGGTGGCCCATGCCTGTAATCCCAACACTTTCGGAGGCAGAGACAGGTGGATCACTTGAGCCCAGGAGTTAAAGACCAGCCTGGGCAACATGGCAAAACTCCATCCTTAAAGGAAAATAAAAAAATAAAAAAGTACCCAGGCATGGTAGGGCACACTTGTGGTCCCAGCTACTTGGGAGGCTGAAGTGAGAGGATCAGCTGGCCCAGGAGGTTAAGGCTGCATGCAGTGAGCCATGTTTGTGCCACTGCACTCAGCCTGGGCAAAGGGTGAGACTCTGTCTAAAAAAAAAAAAAAAGAAAAAAAGAAAAAGGAAGGAGGAAGGAGTAAAAATTTCTCCAATTGGCTGGGCATGGTGGCTCACACCTGTAACCCCAGCACTTTGGGAGGCCAAGGCAGATGGACCCCAGCACTTTGGGAGGCCAAGGCAGATGGATCACGGGGTCAGGAGATCAAGAGCATCCTGCCAACATGGCGAAACCCTGTCTCTACTGAAAATACAAATAAATTGGCCAGGCGTGGTGACTCATGCCTGTAATCCCAGCACTTTGGGAGGCTGAGGCGGGCGGATCACAAGGTCAAGAGATTGAGACCATCCTGGCCAACACAGTGAAACCCCACCTCTACTAAAAATATAAAAATTATCCGGACATGGTGGCACATGCATGTAATCTCAGCTACTCGGGAGGCTGAGGCAGAAGAATTGCTTGAACTGGGAGGTGGAGGTTGCAGTGAGTCGGGATTGCACCACTGCATTCCAGCCTGGTGACAGAGCGAGACTCCGTCTCAAAAAAAAAAAAAGAAAATACAAATTATCTGGACGTGGTGGCACATGCTACACGTCTACAAGTCTCAGCTACTTGGGAGGCTGAGGCAGGAGAATCGCTTGAACCTGGGAGGTGGAGGTTGCAGTGAGCTGAGATAGCGCCACAGAACTCCAGCCTGGGTGACACAGCGAGACTCTGTCTCAAAAAAAAAAAAAAAAAAAAAAAAATTATCCAATCAGCAGATGTTTCTTGAGCACTTTCTTTGCCCTTGAAAAAGTGTACACTACAGAAATAGGACCTAATCATTAAGGTTGTTTTCTTTTCTTTTTTCTTTTTTTTTTTTTTTTTGAGACAGAGTCTTGCTCTGGCATCAGACTGGAGTGCAGTGGCGTGATCTCAGCTCACTGCAACCCCCGCCTCCTGGGTTCAAGCTGTTCTCCAGCCTCAGCCTCCCGAGTATCTGGGATTACAGGCATGTGCCACCACACCCAGCTAATTTTTGCATTTTTAATAGAGACGGGGTTTTACCATGTTGGCCAGGATGGTCTTGATCTCCTGACCTCGTGATCCACCTGCCTCAGCCTCCCAAAGTTCTGGGATTACAGGCATGAGCCACTGTGCCCGGCCTAAGGTATATTTTTCAAGCCAGAAACAATTAGAGGAAAACAAATTGTTGTGCTGTAAAAGAACACTCAAAGCCAAGGAGGGCTTCCCAGAGAGGACGAGACCAGAACAGGGTCCTGAAGGACTGGCTGGATTTGGATAGGAAAGAGGGGCAGGAGGACATTTCAAGGAAGTCACACACCAAGGCCTGAAGTCGGAGCAGACTGGAGGTTGTACGTAGAGAAGTCATTATTAATTCCTGGACTACTTCCTGCGTGCTCAGGCAGGACACCAAGCAACGGGAAATGGACAACCTTTTCTCAAGAAACTGCAATCTTGGAGGTGGAGAATTGAGGGACAGATACTAAGGCAGACACAGGCGATGTGTATTATTCTACAAGAACAGCAATACTGATAATTACCATTTACTGAGCACATACATGTGCCAGGTACTGTACTGAGAGTTTTACGTACATCATCTTATTTGATACTCTAACCTTTTGTGAGCGCTATAATTATCTTGTTTTACAGATGTGGGAACCAAGGTGTTATATAAGTAATGCTTGTTCAAGGTTACCTAACCACTAAGTGACAGAACTGGGATTGAATTCATGACTGCCTAACTTCACAGTTCATCCTCTGAACCTAAGATCTACTGTTCAAAATGCTGTTTTGGGAAGTTCGGCAGCTGATTAATAAGTGCAGGGAGGCCGGGCGTGGTGGCTCAAGTCTGTAATCCCAGTACTCTGGGAGGCCGACGCGGGCAGATCACTTGAGGCCAGGAGTTTGAGACCAGTCTGGCCAACGTGGTGAAACACCATCTCTACTAAAAGTACAAAAAATTAGCCGGGCATGCTTCTGTAATCCCAGCTACTGGGGAGGCTGAGGCAAGAGAATCGCTTGAACCCGGGAGGGGGAGGTTGCAGTGAGCTGAGATCGAGCCACTGCATTCCAGCCTGGGGTACAGAGGAAGACCCTGTCTCAAAAATAAAATAAAATAAATAAAAATAAAAAGTGCAGGGAAAGACCTAAGATAGAAAGACTACTAGAGTAAAACCCACATCGACTACCCAGCAAGAACTAACGCAGTTATAGTAGGAATGGAGAAGAAAAGATCTACCTTTTTGGCACTTCAAAGGGCTTCTAAATAAAGCTCAGGGCTCGGTGACCTGCTGGATGTAGGGAATGTCTACGTGTCTTGACTGAGAATCGAAAAAATACTGATTGGAATAGTTTTTCTCTAATTCTCTGTTCAACAGTATTAGTTGACATTTTAGATAGATGATCCAAATTTCTAGGTTTGCTAGTTTCCCAAAGCACCCAATCAGGTGCGGGTCACATACAGTAGTGAAAAATCAACCTGAAAAGCCCCCCAAAGAGGGCAGAATAAGAAGCGTGGAGAACGCACAAACCTCTCAGGAGCGCTCAAAGGTTCTCAGGCAGGCGGGCACTACAAAGAGAAAGATGGGGCTTCTCCCAAGAACTACAACTCCCACAAGGCATTGGGCAGAACACCACGGTTTCCGGCCAGTGCTTATTTCCGGTCTTTCCGACGCTGACGCTCTCTTCCTGTCTTTGCGGCTCCGGAAAGGCATTTGGGATGCCCACGGTGAGTCTGCAGACTTAGGGCGTCCGAGCGGGACAGGCGAGAGCCTCGTGTCCGCTCATCACCCCGTGTCCGCTGGAGGTTAGCTCGGGGAAGGCGGGAAGGGCAGAGGACGCGCTGGCTGGAGGACTTGTAACCTTGACAAGAGGCGGGGGGCGGGGGTGGGCAGAGGTGACTGACCCCCGTCCCCTGCTCGAAGGACCCAAAAGGTGTTGTGACAGGCGAGGACGAATGGGATCTCAGGGGCTGGACTGGAGAGTGGGGTACAGGGATGTGAGGAGGACCCCAAGAGTCCGCGGTGAGATCCCAGTGGAGCTGTGGCCAAGGAGGAGAGGAGCCGCGGGAAGGCTGCAGCTGTGGGCACTCCTGTGTGAGGGAAAGCTACAAACAGGCTCCTGCAGGTCCAAGATCGGCCGAAATCAGGCACCCCAAAGAAAGCCTTGCTCTGGCCACATGGTGTCCCTTCAGAAGACACCACCGGCCGGTGAGCATCCCGGGGCTTCTGACAGGAAGAGGGCAGTAGATATACTGGTACTTGTACCGGTTTTTCGAGGGCTGCAGGGTGAAGATGGTAGGAGAGTCTGGAGAATGGGTCTGCGCTGGTGGCTTATGGACTACTCTGTGGAAAGGGCTGCTGCTTGGGTAGCATCGAAGGAGCTTTCTACGGGAGCCCTGTCAAGAGGATTTTGGTGAATTTTACATACTTGGTTTGATAACTCACTTTGCTTTTTTCTCTAAAGATGAGGCTGCTGGCGTTTGTGGTGTTGGCTCTATTTGCTGTCACTCAAGCAGAGGAAGGAGCCAGGCTTTTGGCTTCCAAATCACTGCTGAACAGATATGCCGTGGAGGGACGAGACCTGACCTTGCAGTACAATATCTACAATGTCGGCTCAAGGTAAGGAGGCCCTGGAGTTACAGATTAAGCCTATTTCTGGATTCTTAGTTTTCAGATGGGAGTAGGGAGCATATTGGTGGGTAGTGGTTTCTCTTTGGGACACTTCCAGCATCGGATATATTGAGTGAATGAATATACTTTGGGACCTACTTTTGGAAAGGAGGACATTCTTACCTAAGCTACAAGAAACCATCTTTCACATTTTGGGTTGGAAGAATTTTACAGTAGGGAAGTGGCAAGAATTGTGGAAAAACAAGGAGGGAACATTAAGACACAAAAAATACACAATCCGTTGTTACCTCAGGGGTTTAAAGTGTCATTTTCCAGCCGGGCATGGTAGCTCACACATGTAATCTCAGCACTTTGGGAGGCTGAGGCAGGCGGATCACCGGAGGTCAGGAGTTCGAGACCGGCCTGGCCAACATGGCAGAACCCTGTCACTACTAAAAATGCAAAAATTAGCCGGGTGTGGTGGCAGGCACCTGTAGTCCCAGCTACTCGGGAGGCTGAGGCAAAAGAATCGCTTGAACCCAGGAGGCGGAGGTTACAGTGAGCTGAGATCACACCACTGCACTCCAGCTTGGGCCACAAGACAGAGACTCCATCTCAAAAAAAATAAAAAGTGTCATTTTCCTTCTTTCATTAGCCTAGAGCATTTTTGTTGCCTTTCTTTCATTTTATTCCCTTTAACTTTCTCCTCTGTATTCACTGTGTTCCTCTTCTCCCTCCCTCCACAGACATAGGCATGTACATGAAGAAAAATTGAGGCAAGGATGAACTTGGACCTATTGCCTCCTGCATACTTGATTATTTTGGTGCTTGTGAGCAATAGTATCCAGTCTTTGACCTGGATTCTTCAATGCAACAGAACCAAGTTACTATATTACTCATATCTCTCTTTTGCAATTCTCATTTTTTTGGAGAAACAGGCAGGTTTGATTATTTATTGCTTTAATTTAATTTTATTTTATTATTATTATTTATTTAGATGGAATCTCACTCTGTCACCCAAGCGGGAATGCAGTGGTGTAGTCTTGGCTCACTGCAGCCTCTGCTTCCCAACTTCAAGTGATCCTCCTGCCTCAGCCTCCCGAGTAGCTGGGATTACAGGCGCATACCACCACGCCTGGTTAATTTTTGTATTTTTAATAGAGACGGGGTTTCACCATGTTGGCCAGGCTGGTCTTAAACTCCTGACCTCAAGAGATCAGCCAGCCTTGACCTCCCAAAGTGCTAGGATTATAGGCGTGAACCACTGCGCCCGGACTATTGCTTTGATTTTTTTTGTTGTTTGAGATGGAGTCTCACTCTGTCCCAAGCTGGAGTACAGTGGCACAATCTCAGCTCCCTACAACCTCCGCCTCCTAGCGTTCAAGCAGTTCTCCTGCCTCAGCCTCTCAAGTACCTGGGATTACAGGCACACACCACCACGCCCGGCTAATTTTTGTATTTTTAGTAGACACAGGGTTTCACCATGTTGGCCAGGCTGGTCTCGAATTCCTGACCTCAGGTGATCCGCCCGCCTCGGCCTCCCAAAAGTGTTGGGATTACAGGCGTGAGCCACCACGCCCAGCCTGCTTTAATTTTATATCCATTACTTACTAACCCTTTTTGTTTCGTCCATTTTCTAGTGCTGCATTAGACGTGGAACTATCTGATGATTCCTTCCCTCCAGAAGACTTTGGCATTGTGTCTGGAATGCTCAATGTCAAATGGGACCGGATTGCGCCGTATCCTCTTGCTACTTGGTGATGAAGGGTCGGGGGGCAGGGATACCCTTGCCTGCAAAGCAGTGGGGGTACTTCAAATAGGCTGGATATGTCTGGCTGTCCTCCTGTCATCTCTCTGGATAAGATGGAGCAAGAGAGGTTGGTGTAAATTGTGTAAGCATGATTTAGAGTAGACCTGAAGAAGGAGCATCCTGAAGTTCCGATTATAAGACCCTGAAACAAGCAGGGTACGGTGGCTCACGCCTGTAATCCCAGCACTTTGGGAGGCTGAGGCAGGCAGATCACGAGGTCAGGAGATCAAGACCATCCTGGCTAACACAGTGAAATCCCGTCTCTACTAAAAATACAAAAAATTAGCCAGGTGTGGTGGCAGGCGCCTGCAGTCCCAGCTACTCGGGAGGCTGAGGCAAGAGAATGGCATGAACCCAGGAGGCGGAGCTTGCAGTGAGCTGAGATCACGCCACTGCACTCCAGCCTGGGCGACAGAGCAAGACTCTGTCTCAAAAAAAAAGAGAGATTGAGACCAGCCTGGCCAACATGGTGAAACCCTGTCTCTTCTAAAAATACAAAAATTAGCTGGGTGTGGTGGCATACACCTGTAGTCTAGCTACTTGGGAGGCTGAGGCAGGAGAATTGCTTGAACCGGGGAGGCGGAGGTTGCAGTGAGCCGAGATCCTGCCACCGCACTCTAGCCTGGGTGACAGAGTGAGACTCTGTCTCAAAAAAAAAAAAAAAAAAAAAAAACCCTGAAACATACTATACTGGAAGGATATAGGCACTTAATAAAGATGTTTGTGGCTGGACAAGGATACTTAAGGTGCTTTTAAGAGAAATTCAGGCCAGGCACGGTGGCTCACGCCTGTAATCCCAGCACTTTGGAAGGCCGAGGTGGGTGGATCACGAGGTCAGGAGTTCGAGACTAGCCTGGCAAAAATGGTGAAACCCCCGGCTCTACTAAAAATACAAAAAATTAGCCGGGCACAGTGGCGGGCGCCTGTAATCCCAGCTACTCGGGAGGCTGAGGTAGGAGAATCGCTTGAACCTGGGAAGTGGAGGTTGCAGTGAGCTGAGATCGCGCCACTGCACTCTAGCCTGGGCAACAGCAAGACTCTGTCTCAAAAATTAAAAAAAAAAAAAAAGAGGCCGGGCGCGGTGGCTCAAGCCTGTAATCCCAGCACTTTGGGAGGCCGAGACGGGTGGATCACGAGGTCAGGAGATCGAGACCATCCTGGCTAACACGGTGAAACCCCGTCTCTACTAAATATTACAAAAAACTAGCCGGGCGAGGTGGCGGGTGCCTGTAGTCCCAGCTACTCGGGAGGCTGAGGCAGGAGAATGGCGGGAACCTGGGAGGCGGAGCTTGCAGTGAGCCGAGATCTGGCCACTGCACTCCAGCCTGGGCGACAGAGCAAGACTCCGTCTCAAAAAAAAAAAAAAAGAAATTTACTGGGATGCTAGCATGAAGGACCTGGGTGACCTTTTAAAGTCTCTTACTCAATGAGTCTCTTATTCTAATCTACCAATTATCTCTTGAGTATTGAATTAGATGGTATTTTTCTTCTTGTGAATTAAAGTATATTTAAGCCAGGTGTGGTGGCACAGGCCTATAGTCCCAGCTACTTGGGAGGCGGAGGTCGAGAGGATTGCTGGGGCTTGGGAGTTCAAGCCTGCAGTGAGCTATGATAGTGCTGCTGTACTCCAGCCTTGGTGACAAAGCGAGACCTGGTCTCTTAAACAAATAATAATTGTATTTTATTAGTCTGTTCTCCAGTTGCTATGAAGAACAAGCTGAGACTGGGTAATTTTAAAGAAAAGAGGTTTAATTGGCTCACGGTTCTGCAGGCTATACAGCAAGCATGGCTGGGGAGGCCTCAGGAAACTTACAAGGATAGAAGGCAAAGGGGAAGCAGGCACGTAAGTGTCTGGAGCAGGAGGAAGAGAGTAAGTGGGGAGGTGCTACACACTTTTAAATAATCAGATCTTGTGAGAACTCACATCATGAGAATGGCAAGGGAGAAATCTGCCCCCATGATCCAATCACCTCCCACCAGGCCCCTCCTCCAACATTGGGGATTACAATTCCACATGAGAGTTGGGCAGGGACACAGATCCATATCATATCAATAATAAATATATATACATTAGGTTTCTTGGTGAGGGTAAATGTGGTCTTTGTATTTGTTTTTGTTTTGTGGGGTTTTTTTGTATTTTCAAGAATTTCCTTCAATTATAGTTAACAAAAGATTTTCTATGAGCTTGGCTGGGTGCGGGTGGCTCACGCCTGTAATCCCAGCACTTTGGGAGGCTGAGGCGGGTGGATCATGAGGTCAGGAGATCGAGACTATCCTAACTAACACACAATGAAACCCCGTCTCTGCTAAAAATACAAAAAAATTAGCCAGGCTTGGTGGCAGGTGCCCATAATCCCAGCTACTCAGGAGGCTGAGGCAGGAGAATGGTGTGAACCCAGGAGGCGGAGCTTGCAGTGAGCTGAGATCATGCCACTGCACTCCAGCCTGGTGACAGAGCAAGACTCTGTCTCAAAAAAAAAAAAAATAGGATTTTCTATGAGCTTAAGTGACTATAATTTCTTTTAACCACCCAAGAAGAAGCACTGATCAAATTAGTGTACTTTTTTTTTTTTTTTTTTTTGAGATGGAATTTCGCTCTTGTCACCTAGGCTAGAATGCAGTGGCACATCTTGGCTCACTGCAACCTCTGGCTCCCTGGTTCAAGCGATTCTCTAGCCTCAGCCTCCAGAGTAGCTGGGATTACAGGCACTCGCTACCACGCCCAGCTATTTTTGTATTTTTAGTAGAGACAGGGTTTCGCCATGTTGGCCAAACTGGTCTCGAACTTCTGACCTCAGGTGATCCACCCACCTTGGCCTCCCATTGTGCTGGGATTATAGGTGTGAGCCACCATGCCTGGCCAAATGACTATAGTTTTTTATCCATAATATATATTGGTTTGGAAGTTTACTTCAAAAACCAGTGCACTGAGTATAACATAGGCCCCTTAAAATTTAGCTGGAAAAACAACCTGTAATACCGTACACTTTAGATTTGAAAAAGAAGCCTAGGTCCCGTGTGGTGGCTCATGCCTGTAATCCCAGGACTTCGGGAGACCAAGGCAGGAGGATCACTTGAGCCCAAAAGTTTGAGACCACTGTGGGCAACAAAGTGAGACCCCATCTCTCTCTCTCTTTTTTTAATATTTAAAAAAATTAAGTAAATTTGGGGGTAGGGGGGAGGGATTGCATTGGGAATTACACCTGATGTAAATGATGAGTTGATGGGTGCTGAGAAGTTGATGGGTGCAGCACACCAACATGGCACAAGTATACATTTGTAACAAACCTGCACGTTATACACATGTACCCTAGAACTTAAAGTATAATAATTAAAAAAAAAAAAAGTAAATTTTAAAAAAAAGCATATGTTTTTTCATTCCTGCAGAGTATTGCCTGCATGAGATCAGCATGTATTGGCAACTGTTTTGTAAATGTTGCGTTTAGTCCACAGGTCCACAGGCCGAAAGGCTGCTACAACCTTAGCTTCATCTCTTTCCCTTCCTTAACCCTTGAGCCAGCGCTAGCAATGTCTCCCACACTGTGGTCCTGCGCCCTCTCAAGGCTGGTTATTTCAACTTCACCTCGGCGACAATTACTTACCTGGCCCAGGAGGATGGGCCCGTTGTGGTGAGTTGCCCAAACCCTTAGCTGGATGGAGTTTGGATCTGCCTTCCCTTAAAATCTCTTGTGGGGGCGGTGAGAGGGAGATGAAGAGAGGTCAATTAATAGGTAGCAAAATACAGTTGGGGCTGGGCGCAGTGGCTCACGCCTGTAATCTAGCATTTTTGGAGGCCAAGGTGGGCAGATCACCGAAGGTTAGGAGTTCGAGACCAGCCTGGCCAACATGGAAAAACCCCATCTCTACTACAAATACAAAAATGAGCTGGGCGTGGTGGCAGGCTCCTGTAATCCCAGCTACTTGGGAGGCTGGGGCAAGAGAGTCACTTGAACCCGGGAGGCAGAGGTTGCTGTGAGCGGAGATCACACCACTGCACTTCAACCTGGGCGACAGAGTGAGACTCCATTTCAAAAAAAAAAAAAAGAAGGAATAAGACCTAGTGTTCGATAGTTCAGTAAGGTGACTATAGTTAACAGTAATCTAATGTATATTTCAAAATAGCCAGATGAGAAGCATTTGAACATTTCCATCATAAAGAAAAGATAAATGGGGCCAGACATGGTGGCTAATGCCTGTAATCCCAGTACTTTGGGAGGCTGAGGTGGGTGGATTGTTTGAGTCCAGGAGTTGGAGACCAGCCTGGGCAGCATGGTAAGACCCCCATTTCAAATAATTAACTGGGCATGGTGCATGCCCCTGTGATCCCAGGTACTCAGGAGGCTGAGGTGGGAGGATTGCTTGAGTCCGGGAGGTTGAGGCTGCAGTGAGCCATTTTATTGCCACTGCATTCCAGCCTGGGTGACACAGTGAGACCCTGTCTCAGAGAAAAAAAAAAAAAGAAATGTTTAAGGTGATGGATATCCATCTAAAAAGTATAGATTGTAAAAACAAAAACCTCTTACAGAAAATTTCTACAGTAGCTACTAAATTCTGAGGGAGATAACATTAACCAGACACTTGGTATTGTCCTAAGGAAGTATGTTTCTTTTTTTTTTTTTTTGAGACGGAGTCTCGCTCTGTCGCCCAGGCTGGACTGCAGTGGCTAGATCTCAGCTCACTGCAAGCTCGGCCTCCCGGGTTTACGCCATTCTCCTGCCTCAGCCTCCCGAGTAGCTGGGACTACAGGCGCCCACCACCTCGCCCGGTTAGTTTTTCGTATTTTTTAGTAGAGACGGGGTTTCACTGTGTTAGCCAGGATGGTCTCGATCTCCTGACCTCATGATCCACCCGTCTCGGCCTCCCAAAGTGCTGGGATTACAGGCTTGAGTCACCGTGCCCGGCCAGGAAGTATGTTTCAAATTAAAGTTCTGGACAAGAGTGATTGAAATGGATGGAAGAGGTATACCATGGCCTTCCCCTCCTTTTCATTCCTTCTGCCTTCCTTTTCATCTGGAGTATGTCATTTGCTGCCTACTGATATTCTTGCCTTTCTGATCTGTCTTCTCTGCCACTGTCAGATTCTTCCCAGTCTCCACTGTTACTCTCTCCTTCCCTTGCTTAGATTGCTCCTGCTTGCGGCATCAGGGCTGAGCTTTTCTGCCTCTCACTGCACCCCCTCCAACAGTCTAGCTCTTTTCTGCCTCCAGCCTTCTCTCCTAGTCTACCCATACAGACCCTACATCCTTATTAGGCCAAGCTACTTCCCACACCTTCTCCCCCAACTCAGTCCTTATTCTTTCCTCTGTGCCTTTGTTCTGTTTGAAGTATCCTTTTCCCTCCACTCCATTATATCTGAAGCTTTCTCAAGACCCAGCTTTGAGCTATGTCTCCTTGTTTTCTGTCCTCAGTTCATATTGCTCTTTGCTATTCATTCTTTTCTTTTCCTTTTTCTTTTTTTTTGAGACAGAGTCTCACTCTGTCGCCCAGGCTGGAGTGCAGTAGTGTAATCTTGGCTCACTGCAACCTCCGCTTCCCGGGTTCAAGCGATTCTCTTGCCTCAGCCTCCTGAGTAACTGGGACAACAGGTGTGCACCACTGCGCCCAGCTGCTTTTTTATATTTTTAGTAGAAACGGGGTTTCACCGTATTTGCCAGGCTGGTCTCAAACTCCTGACCTGTGATCGCCTGCCTTGGCCTCCCAGAGTACTGGAATTACAGGCATGAGCCACAGCGCCCGGCCACTATTCATTCTTTCATAAACATGTTGACTGCATCTAAACTTCTGTGGCACTTATAGTCTATGCCACGTGAACATTTAATCACTGTCTTCAGTAGTTTCTTATTTATAGATGCTCCCTCTCCCCACCCCCACCTCCCAATTTAATTATAAACTCCCTGAGGCCAGTGACTGTCTTAGATTTCTCTGTTTCCCATATACAATATAAACTCAGTAGTAAACAATCTTTTGATTGATGTAAAGGTCAACAGACATTTATGAAGTTCCTGAAATGTGCCAGACTCTGGGAATACGTAGAGGATTAAGATACTGTCCAAGTCCTCAAAAAGCTTAAGTAATAAATGTATAAAGCCAAATAAATGCATAAATTTATGAAGCTAAAATGTATGATCCTCCATACAAGTAGGGCTGTAGGCTAATTAGTACACAGTAGGGAAGGGACTTAACACGGTCAACCATGGAATGAAAAGAACTAACACTCAGTGCACCTTCTGCATTTTCGTTTTTCATAAACTACATGGAACCATATTCTTCTAAACTCAGCTGTGTTTTCACATCCGGTATCATTTCTGCTTTCAGAACCAACTTCAGGACTCTTTGGTTCTACCTAGTAGTTGATGGGTTAATAGACATAAAATCAGAGGCTCAGCTGCCACTTTGGAATAAAAGTATGCTCCAAACTCTTGGCCTCCTCTCCAAGACAAAGGAATGTGGGCCAGACTCAACCCCTCCTCTAATAATGTACATTTGGGTAGGGCTTTATACTTCATTATATACTTTTGCTATTTCATTTGAGCCTCACATTAACCCTGTGAAGTTGTGGATTTTTGCTGGAGGAATAAGTAAATGATTACCAAGGGTAAGTCATTGCATTGCACACCCTGCACTGTAGAGGGGCCCGTGGTGGTGAGCAACTTCACTCTTCCCAGAGTCTGAGGCTCAGACAGAAGAATTTGGCTTTAATTTCAGTTGCATGCATGGCCTACCCTGTTTAACGTACGTTCATCATGGGGTATTTCTCAGGTCTTCTGGCTCCTAGGTACTCCTCTTTACAACACACTAAAAGAGAATCATCCACCTCTGTCTAGCCAAAAGCTTTCCCTCATCTTCTTGAAGTGCTCCTGAGCCTTTGGGAACTAAGACTCTAATGCACAGAGTTGGGTTGGTTGGGACCGCCCTTTCTCAGATTAGATGAGGTGGAGACTTGCCTTAATGTCGTTCTTTTCTTCTTTTCAGATTGGCTCTACCAGTGCACCTGGACAGGGAGGAATCCTGGCTCAGCGGGAGTTTGACAGGCGATTCTCCCCTCATTTTGTAAGCTTTCTAGTGTTCTCTCTCATCAGTCCCTTGGTATGAGAATCCCCTTTTGGTTCTGGACCCTCTTGGCTTCCATAGATTTGTTTTGTTGGTTGGTTCTTGCCCTGTTTTTTGGTGTCTGATATGGATACTTATCAAATAGATTGATTTAGCCATGTCCAGAGATTTTTGGCAATGAGATCACAATTGCCAAAACTATAAAACTGACTTGAGTAGAGTCCTATCTTTAAGTAGACACCCATCTTAGACTCTGGGTCTATTTTGAGGTTTTAAAAAAAATCTGGTTAGATTCAGAGGGTCATAGATCATTGGGTAGGTTAAGTGGGAACTTTATTGTGGTCTAGTCTACAAAAGAATTTTTTGAAGATTAGCCTGAAGTACTGAATGATGGAATTCATTCAGTGAATAAGTATGATGTTCCAAATTATGTGCTCATTCTGTTCTCTGCTTTGGGGAAACAATGATGAATAAAACACAGTTCCTTCCATTAAAAATCTTACAGGCTGGCTAGGCACCATGGCTCATGCCTGTAATCCCAGTGCTTTGGGAGGCAGAGGCGAGAGGACCACTTGAGGCCAAGAGTTTGAGGCTGTGGTGAGCCGTGATCACACCACTGCACTCTAGCCTGGGTGACAGAGCAAAACCCTGTCTCTAAAAATAACAAGATCTTACGGGCTCACAGAGGGCTCGAAATAGGTAAATAGGGAGGCTGAGGCAGGGGAATTGCTTGAGCCTGGGAAGCGGAGGTTGCAGTGAGCCAAGATCGAGCCACTGCACTCCAGCCTGGACGACAAGAGCAAAACACTGTCTTTAAAAAAAAAAAAAAAAAGTAAAGTAAATGGGGAAAATGCTATGATAGAGGTTATATGCCAGGTGCTAGAGGAGCATGCAGCAGGAACATCTAACGAGAGGGGACTTTCTGGAGGAGGTAAGGAAGGGCAGGCACTTGAGGAGAGAGACCAGCTGAGATTGAGAAAAGTGTGGTGTGATTCAGGAATGGCAAGTAGTTTATCAAGGCTGACGGGCAGAATATGAGGTGGAGGAATGGAAAAGAGGGGGCCTGAAGTGTAAACAAGGGTTAGATCATAGGAGGATTGACTGTCAGGGGCAAGACCAGGGTATCTCCATTCTCAAAGATTGGAACAGAAGCTTCTCTTCCAGTCTGGATTGGGTCAGGTGAGTCCTTTGGTTTCACAGCTTGAAAGATTGGTCTTTAGAGAGCCATTCTATATCAGGATTGGTCAGAGAGGAACCTTCCTGGCCAAAGTTCTGCTTAAAATTTGTGCTGAGTTAGGCCTGGTGGTGTGCACCTGTAATCTGCTTCTTGGGTGGCTGGAGAATCGCTTGAGCCCAGGAGTTTCAGGCTGCAGTGAGCTGTGATTGCGCCACTACTCTCTAATCTGAGCAACAGAGTGAGACCCTATCTCTAAAAAAAAAATTAAAATTAAAAACTAAGAAAATTTAGGCTGGGTGTTGTGGCTCATACCTGTAATTCCAGCACTTTGGGAGGTCAAGGCAGGAGGATCACTTGAGCCCAGGAATTCAAGACCAACTTGAGCAACATAGTGATATTTTGCCTCTACAAAAAATTTTTTAAAAATTAGCTAGGTGTGGTGGTACGCCCCTGTGATCCTAGCTACTCAGGAAGCTGAAGTGGGAGGATCACCTGAGCCCAGGAGGTCGAGGCTGTAGTGAGCCGTGATCGTGCCGCTTCACTCCAGCCTGGGCAACAGAGCAAGACCTTGTATCAAAAATGAATAAACGTGGACTAGACTGCTCCCTTTCTCATTGGACTCATATTTTCCCTGGCTTCTCCTGTGCCCTAATCCAGACTTCTAAGCAAGGTCTTTGTTTTCCTTCACAGCTGGACTGGGCAGCCTTTGGGGTCATGACCCTTCCCTCCATCGGCATCCCCCTGCTATTGTGGTACTCCAGCAAGAGGAAATATGACACTCCCAAAACGAAGAAGAACTGAGTGGGGCTTCCACAGCCCTCCTCTCCCAAGAAATCCAGGCTCCTTTCCCAAGAAATCCAGGTGCTTTCCAGACTCCAGAGGGTATCTTAAATGCAATCTCTTCTCTCTTAGCCCTTGGCCACTTTCTCCTGGATCCTGCCCTGCTCTCAGCCATAGTGAAGGACCAGGCCAGGAGTCTGTGAGAGCCTCCTTGGTTCCATGTGAAGCCATAAACGGGAATGCCTTTGGCAATAGCCTTGAGCCTAGAGGGCCCTCTGATGCCCCACTGAGGTGCTGTTGGTTTATTGCTGGCAATGTGAATTCTCTCAGAGGTCTAGGAGGGGCATTTCTGAGACTGCCTGACACCACCCCCATCCTCTGCCCCCCGCTCTCAGAAAAGGGTAGAAGATGAAATGAAAGCTATGGGACTCTTGAAGGATACCCAGTGTCTATTCTGGGTTAGAGAAGTGCTTACTAAGGAGTTTTCTAATAAAAACACATGCCACATTGACTTGTCTGTTTTCTTAGCCCCCGGGTGAGCACAGGTGATTATTGGAACTCAGTCCTTGAATGCCCAGACCCCTGGGCAAGTGAGCTGAGTTCTGGCCTTGCTGTACAGGTTGTGGGTGGGTCCTGTTCCTATGGAGATATCTGCCCTTTTGAATCTTTTGCTTCCATTCCTTATTTTCCTCTGATTATTCTCATTAGTCACCACCTATTGCCGTACACCTTCCTTGCCAGGCAGCTCCTCTTCACAGCTGGGGAATGTAGGATGGGGAAAGATGGTCTGCAGAGGAACAGCTATTCTCACCCCCTTAGATCTTATCTGATTTATTGACTCAATGTTTGTTTGTTTTTGAGATGGCATCTCACTGTGTCACCCAGTGGTGGTGCCTGGCCACTGAGTGTTCTTGAAAAGCTATCTCTCGTGCCTGACTCTAGCCCTTTCTCGTTAAGAACTAGCCTTTCGACCAGGTGCGGTGGCTCATGCCTATGATCCCAGCACTCTGGGAGGCCGAGGTGGGTGGATCACAAGGTCAGGAGATCGAGACAATTCTGGCCAACATGGTGAAACCCCGTCTTTACTAAAAATACAAAAAATTAGCTGGGCACAGTGTTACGGGCCTGTAGTCCCAGCTACTCAGGAGGTTGAGGCAGGAGAATCGCTTGAACCCAGGAGGCAGAGGTTGCAGTAAGCCGAGATCGTGCCACTGCACTCCAGCCTGGTGACAGAGCAAGACTCTGTCTCAAAAAAAAAAAAAAGAACTAGCTTTTATTGAGCTTTAATTTTACTTTCTTGTTTTTGAGATGGAGTCTCGCTCTGTTGCCCAGGCTACAATGCAGTGTTGTGATCTTGGCTCACTGCAACCTCCACCTCCTGGGTTCAAGTGATTCTCCTGCCTCGGCCTCCCGAGTAGCTGGGATTACAGGCATCTGCCACCACGCCTGGCTAATGTTTGTATTTTAGTAGAGATGGGATTTCACTATGTAGGTCAAACTGGTCTCGAACTCCTGACTTCAAATGATCTGCCCACCTCAGCCTCCCAAAGTGCTGGGATTACAGGCATGAGCCACTGGGCCTGGTGCATTTTTTTTTTTTTTTAAATTTTTTGAGATGGAGTCTTGCTCTGTTGCCCAGGATGGAGTACAGACCAGCTCACTGCAACCTCCGCCTCCCGAGTTCAAGCATTTCTTCCGCCTCAGCTTCTCAAGTAGCTGGGATTAGAGGTGCACACCACCACACCTGGCTAATTTTTGTGTTTTTAGTAGAGACAGGGTTTCACCATGTTGGTCAGGCTGGTCTCGAACTCCTGACCTCAAGTGATCTGTCTGCCTCAGCCTCCCAAAGTGCTGGGATTACAGGCGTGAGCCACCAAGCCTGGCCTGAATTTACTTGTAATGCCTCTGTTCTTTGAGCTCTGGCAGGGAAGAAGTGCCTGGATCCCTTGAGGTGGGCTCTAAGCATGACCTATGGAAAGGCAGTGACTTTTGCTGCTGCAGCAGTGGGGAGAAGCCACTCTGAGCTGACTCTGTCCAACCCAGGAATGCCGTGGTCTGAGAACAGCCTCCCAGGCAGGAGGGAAGCCCAACAAACGCCGGCTTTGTTTCTACTACCGAGTTTCCCAGTTTAGATTCTGCTCCCCCGACTCCACTGCCCAACTGGTTTAACCTTTCCTTAGCCCAGCAATCAGAGCCTCCAGGCCCAGGAGGATGAAAAGAACATGGAGACAACGGGAGGCTCCAAATGGAGTAGCCCTCTGCCAGCTCACATCCCTCTTTCAGGGGCTGCAGCTTGGACATCCCAGGACTGGCCAGGTTAGAGGCAAGGAGGAGATATTTGCTTTTGTTCATTGTGTTCCTGGTGGAAACCTGGGACTTGCTCAGGAGAATGGGGAGGAAAGGCCAATGAGTCAGAGGCTTGGGGTTGAGAACAGGTGTGGGGAAGGGAAGGGAGCTAGTCTGATACACATCATCTTGCACTCTAGGACTATGGAGTGTTATCCTCTGAAGGACATTTTCCATCTGTGTAGTCTCCATGGAAAATATAATGAGTTAACCTATGGGCGGGGGGGATTCTGGCTTAGAGAATAGGGTAAACTTCATAACTCTGGAAGGTAATACAGGTGCTCCTTGACTTCCAGTAGGGTTATGTCTGATAGGTTTATATGATATGCATATCAGGAGATAACCCTGGTGTAAATGGAAAATGCTTTAAGTTGAAAATGCATTTAATACACTTAACATACCAAACATCATAACTTTGCCCAGCCTACCTTAAACATGCCCAGAATGCTTACATTAGCCTACAGTTGGGCAAAATCATCTAACACAAAGCCTATTTTATTATTTTTATTTATTTTTTGAGGCGGAGTCTCACTCTGTCACCAGGCTGGAGTGCAGTGATGCAATGCTTCTCTTGTCATCTGTGTCAGGCCTGAGTTTCCCTCCTAGTCGCCTTCTCCATGACGAGGGCCAGGACACAAAGTGCTGAGTTTTGTAAGGAAAAGGTACAATAAAGACGTCCCTAGCTTTTGGGAAAGGAGCACCTCTCAGAGTTCAGATTAAGGAAGGAATCAGCATTCCTGGGTTGGACAGAGCTCAGAGTGGCTTCTCCCCACTGCTGCAGCAGCAAAAGTCACTGCCTTTCTATAGGTCATGCTTAGAGCCCAACTCAAGGGATCCAGGCACTTCTTCCCTGCCAGAGCTCACTGCAACCTTCACCCCCCGGGTTCAAGTGATTCTCATGCCTCAGCCTCCCTAGTAGCTGGGATTACAGGTGCCTGCCACATGCCCAGCTAATTTTTGTATTTTATTATTTTTTTTCTGAGACAGAATCTCACTCTTGCCCAGGCTGGAGTGCAGTGGCCCAATCTCAGGTCACTGCAACCTCCACTTCCCAGGTTCAAGCAATTCTGCCTCAGCCTCCTGAGTGAGTGGGACTACAGGCACGCGCCACCATGCCCGGCTAATTTTTGTATTTTTTAGCAGAGATTGGGGTTCACCATGTTGGCCAGGCTGATCTTGAACTCCTGAGCTCAAATGATCCACCCACCTCAGCCTCCCAAAGTGCTGGGATTACAGGCGTGAGCCACTGTGCCTGGCCCACAAAGCCTATTTTATAATAAAGTGTTGACTATCTCGTGTAATTTATTGACTACTGTACTGAAAGTGAAAAACAGAATAGTTTTATGGTACTTGGAAAAGGGTTTCTACTGAATGTGTATGGCTCTCACACTCTTGTGAAGTCTAAAATCTTAGTCAAATCTTAGGTCGGGGACTGTCTGTATAAGATTCCTTCCTTAATCTGAACTCTGAGAGGTGCTCCTTTCCCAAAAGCTGGGGGCATCTTTATTGTACCTTTTCCTTACAAAACTCAGCACTTTGTGTCCTGGCCCTTGTCATGGAGAAGGCGACTAGGAGGGAAACCCAGGCCTGACACAGATGACAAGAGAAGCATTGTGAAGACAGTTGGTGTCACAGGCACCTTGAAAAAAGGCCACAGCTAGATACCTCATCTAAAAGATCAACTTTCTTGGAGTCAGGATGGAATGTGAACCTCCCTTAAGTAGTGGTGTTGGAGAATGTAAGAGCCTCTAAAATCTATAGACAGAAAGTCTTAGCTGGAATAGTTGGCTTTAGGATTGAGCCCTCTTAACTTCTTGAGGTAATTTAATAGGAGGATGAGTGGCAGACAACACTCCTCCGCTCTAACTGAAAACCACCCTAGGGAGGTATGAACCTTGATCTCAGGATTGTGTGCAGATCTGTGAGCGGAGAGGAAAGTAAGCACTGATCCCACATCCTTCCTGGAGGCTGGGTACCCAAACTGAAGCTCCTCCCTAAAAGGCAATACAGATCGTAGGTCAGCCACTAGCGTGTTCCAGGTGCCCCCACCCCTGGAGACCAGCCCTCCAGCCCTCCCTCATTGTGCAGACTTTCAGCTGGCATCAGCTCACCCACACACCCCACCCTGGTACCAGGAGGAGCCAGGTGCCTTGATTTCCGCCCCCTTCCTGTACTCGACTTTGGCACTCGAAGAAAGTAAGTGGGAAACAGGTGTAAGAATTTCCACAGGCCGGGCGCAGTGGCACACGCCTGTAATCTCAGCACTTTGGGAGGCCGAGGTGGGTGGATCACTTGAGGTCAGGGGTTCAAGACCAGCCTAGTCAGAATGGCAAAACCCTATCTCTACTAAAAATACAAAAAGTAGCCGGGCGTCATGGCGGACACCTATAATCTCAGCTACTCAGGAGGCTAAGGCAGGAGAATCACTTGAACCGGGTGGGCAGAGGTTGCAGTGAGCCAAGATCGTGCCATTGTACTCCAGCCTGGACAAAAAGTGAAACTCCATCTCAAAAAATAATAATAATAATAATTTCTAGAAAACTGGAAGTAATGGAGCGATTCAGTGAAAGGATGAGCAGTTACCAAGGCTTAGTCCCTTGAGAGAGCAGCTAAGAGTAGGAGAAGCAGCGTATGCCAGAGGCAGGAGTACTGGGTCCCAGCCCCAACTCCACCACTCACTGGCTGTATGACCTTGGGTAAATCATGCCCCCTTCTACTCAGGAGGCTGAGGCAAGAGGACTGCTTGAGCCTGGGCGTTCAAGGCTTCAGTGAGCCATGATCATGCCACAGCACTCCAGCCTGGGTGACAGAGTGAGACCCTATCTCAATGGAAAATAAAAATTAATATATATATAAAGTATATATAAAATAACTCTGCCTCTTGGAGCCTGTTTCCTCATCTGCACAATCATGAAATTGTTTAGAGGATTTTTGAGGACCCCTCACCAGTATGATAGGGCAGGTATTACCCCTTTGTTCTTATGCAGTGAGGAACATGAGGAATAACTACTGTCACTTTCTCATCGTGTGGGTGAGATCCAGCCAGGTGGGGAAGGGCACACACAGTTCTACATCCGGCAGCAGCTGCTCCCTTCCACTCACCGACAGAGAGAATTTTTGAGTAAGGATAAACCATAGATCACCTAATTTGATGCTCTCATTTAA